TGTGTGCTCAACGCCCACAGAAGTCAGATGAAAGGGTTGAATTCTCTGGAAAGATGTTTGTGAGTCACTAAGTGGGTTCTTGGAACTGAACCCATGTCTTTGTAAGAGCAAAAAGTACTCTTAAAGGACCGAACCACCTCTCCAGCTCCAATATTTGTGAATTTGTAAACTTGGAATTAGTAATGAACTTTTGTCATAGATGTAGTTAGCTATGATGTCTGAAATATAAGGCAGGCCATGTCTTTATTTGGAAGGCTCTGGGCTGAAAGAATAAAACAATACAGAAAGTCTAGAGGATGTTTTTGTGGGATCTGCTGGTTTCAGCTTCTTAAGGGGTTGGTCGATCTCTTTGCATCTTTGTATACATTGGCCTCCTGCAAGAGAACACCTCCCCACTAAAGCAACAGTATGCTTCCATCAAATGTTACAAAATGTGCTCTGATGCTATTTCACACTTCATGCATCACCTCAGGCTCCCAAAACATATGCAAATTGACTCATAAATTATTTACTCACACAGAACTCCAACCCTGCCCTCCACATCCAATTCTTTAAGACCTAGGCATAAATGAAATTTTGCAAAATCAACAAATATTTCCAGTCCTGTGAATGACTCAAGGAAATATCAAGTCTTCCCTTATATTAACTTACCTCTTTATGTGACAAATTTCAAAAGGCTCAAAACCGCTAAGATGTGGTGCTATCACCCAAAGGACACTAAAGATGATAAGTGAAAATAATCAGGAAAAACTTGTCCTTGCACACAATGAATAGATAAACCAGTGCTCCCCACTCTTAGTAGAGAAGGTAATTGGTCAATTATTTCATTAAAAAGGGCATCTGCATTATTCTCTTAAACCTCTTAAAATAATGGAATCGATTATCTGGGTGGTTGAGCAGGTGCTAGACTGGATTCTCTAAAAATAAATCATGTCGCACTAATCTGAATTTTTTGATGAGGTAACTCATGTAATTTATGAAAAGGCATAATTTATCTTGATTTTAGCAGTGCTTTTGATCAAGCATCCCTCAAAGGCTTATGAATAAGTCACAACATACTTGCATTTGCATAGGGGTGCTAAAATAGATGGATCACTGGCAAACTAGAGAAAGTAATAATTAGTGGACAGTAATTCTTCAGGGAGAGTTGACAAACACTTTTCCCATGGGTTCCAAATTTGGGAAAACTTTAAATAAGATTTATACTTCTGACTTAGCAATAGATGCAATTTGCCAGCCATGCAATCTGTGGATGACTTGGAGATAGCCTTTTGCCCCAGGGCTAAGGAAAGGAGCAGGTCCTTAAAGAAAGGAGGGGATTGGAATTTCAGGTTTAAAGGGCAGCTCAGAGATGAGTGATGGTGAGGTAGAGGCATGGGCACAAAGCAGAATTTACACAGTGCTTGCTGCCACAAATGTTCAACCAGTGTGCATTGCAAATAAGAAGGCAGGAGCTGAAGTGCTTTGGGAATTTCCTACCGTTAGTTTGAAGAATCCTTACTTCATGTTAGCTTTTGTGATTCTGCTATCAGGAACTTATTAGAAATACTGATCCACTCATTGAGTCCTGTAAGAAGAGACCAACCTGGTCTACACAGCGAGTTCCAGGACAGTCTCCAAAACAATACAGAGAAACCCTCTCTGGAAAAACCAAATAAATAAATACATAAACAAATAGTTCTCACTCTAATGAGATTCATAGAGGTTGATGACCTCTTTTGCTCTCAAGGGTACTTACTACTCACCAGGAACCAGTCCATATAGCTGAGAAGCTGGCCTCCTCACATGATGCCTGTTCTTTCCTTGGGACAGGACTCCTTGGTGGCTTCCCACAGAGGACCACAAGAAACTTCTTCTACAGGTGCTATCTATGGTAGCATTCATTGTCAGCGACTCAGAGAACTGATTCTCACATGGAGAAACCGGTATCCTTTTCTCACCACTGCTCGCATCATCAGGTCTTAAGGGCTCCTCACAACCCAGATCTCCTGACTGTTAGAAGCTCAACATAAATTGTCCCTCCATTTACTTCAGAGAGCAACTTTCAATAACATCAAAAATGCACCTTCTAGCTCCATATGCTGAGATCCCATAGCTTTTGAAAACAAAAACATTACAGTTGTTCTTTGGTCGCTAGCACTTATTACTCATAGTGGTTTTCATACCACATCCAAACCTGCCTAGACTCTTGCTGCAACTTAAAATCTTCATTACAAGTTTTTGCTCTCACTGAGGTTACAAGATCCTGAAGAGCTATCATAATGGGATTACTAGTACACAAGGTTATAGCGACCATTCAATTTCTCCCACTACTGTGATTAAAAGCATATACTTTTTGCTGGTTACTTTGTGTTTTAGAGATTTGGAAGGGAAAAACTTAAAACAAAAATCAAGTTATATCTTAGTGGCCTGTGTTCCAAATCTAGGAAAATCACACATGTTTGACAAATCTCCATAAGCAATGCTATATTTGGCTTCAAACCATTGAGCTTAATTACAGAGTATTATACTGGTGAATGATGCTGAAAAATATTGTAAAGTTTACTCAAAAATCAGAATAACTATTTTTGTAAGGATGAATTTAAAAGATAAATATATTTGTGACTGAAAATATATTTTATAATTGGCTCAGGAGATATGACCACATCTGATAATTATAGAATAGTAGTAAATAAAGACTAAGTAGAAAAAGGAAAAATATAATGGCTGTCTGAAAATCTCAACTGAAGACAGTACTATGTTTAAGACTGACATAATCCTGGGGTCAAAGTGGTGCTGGGTCCAAAACAGAAGCCTATTAAGTGAAAAAAATAATCTTACCAAAGTAATCTGTGTCCATTGGAAAATTACTTAAGAAATGTCAGAAGCAGTGGTGCACACCTGTGATCCCAACTATTCTGGTGTCTAAGGCAGAAGGATAAGTTTGATTCCAGCCTGGGATACATAGTAAGAACCACACCCCCATATATGATTATTATGTTATTGGGTGAGTCAACTTCACCACCTTTTCTCTTCGTTCACTTACATATTTCTTTACTTAAATCCTCATCGCTTGCTGCCTCCCTCCCTCCTTCCCTCCCTCCCTCCCTCCCTTGCTGTCTCCTTCCTTCCTTCCTTCCTTCCTTCCTTCCTTCCTTCCTTCCTTCCTTTCTTTCTTTCTTTCTTTCTTTCTTTCTTTCTTTCTTTCTTTCTTTCTTTCTAATCCCCTCCTGGTAATCGTTTAGTATCCTTTAAAAAATTATTCAGCTGGGCAGTGGTGGCACAGGCCTTTAATCCCAGTACTCAGGAGGCAGAGGCAGGAGGATCTATGTGATTTTGAGGCCAGCCTGGTCTACAGAATGAGTTCCAGGGCAGGCTCCAAGCTACAGTGAAATCCTGTCTGAAAAACAAAACAAACAAAATAATTCTTTATTTGCAGTATATACCAGAACCCCTTTCTCTTCTTCTCTGTCCACTCTAGACCTGAATCTATTCTCAAACTGACTGATATCATATAAAATGGAAATTAGAAAGGATCCCTTCTGCATTTATTACCGGTATTGTCACAGATGAAACTGCAAACATTCAGGAACTGGACTTTCAAAAAATACTCAGAAACTAAATTTATATGGCAATGGTTAACTTTTAGCTGCTTTGACTAGTCTGTGCTTAGAATAGTCAGCAAAATATCATCTTTGTCTATGTATTGCCTCTTTTATTCCTTACCACACAGAGTTCGTTTCCTTCCCTTTATATTAACCACTGAGGTAATGATTAGAACATACAGGATACAGCTGTTTACAATCCCATGCAGGTAGTTGCAAAAGATTAGCTACAGGAAATAACTACTGAGAATGCTTACCTTTTAACTTGGCTAGTTTAGTAATCAGAAATCAAACACTGGTTGGTGGTTTGTGCTTTTTTAAAAACTTAGGTTACAGTTACACAATTTCCCTTCATTTCCTTTTCCTTTTCCAATGTCTTCCATGCCTCCCCCAGCTCCTTCTCGAGTTCTTGTCCTCATATTATTTAATTGTTATTGTTTTACACACTTGTTTGCACATGCCACATGCAGAAACACACACACACACACACACACACACGTATTGCTTGCAAAACATAGACGAAGATTAATTTAAGTTAAAGAAAAAAAAACTGCTAGCCAGAAAGGAGCCTAAGCTAAGGCCGAGCATTCATTACTAATAATATGTCTCTGTGTCATGATTTGGGTGCTGGTTGGTGGCCCTAAAGAAAAAGCCTGCTGCACTTATTAGAAATGAATGTTTAAGAAACCAAACCAAAATTCCTATGGCAATTTTTGCTGCTACTTATGTGCAATTATGAACTACTTATAATTACAAGTATAGAAGTTTTAGAAGTTCCATAGAGCAAATAAACCATAAAATATAAATCTGTGAACTATTTTTATTTCTAATAATCTCTTTGCACACTTCTGTTCCTCTAATTCATAAAGGAATCTTTGATGTAGAGCTTAAACCAATCTTGAATGTGCTATTTCCCTGCCGAATTTTCCCCACTGCTGGGATTATAAGTATCCACACATACCTGGTTCTCATTTTTGTTTTATTAAATAAAGTTTATATAATATTGATAGCTTTTGTTATTTATGTTGTTGCTAATATATATTAATAACCTTACCTGTTTTCTTCCATTGCCTGATGACATCTGAACTCTTATAACTTCTGGTAGAATTATGTTTTTATTTAAATAATTAATTTTGTGCCTATTTTGGGGTGCTGGGGAGGTGCCAAATTGAAACACTATTTCTGGGTATGCCTGAGATTAGCAATCGATTAGTGGGAGCAGAGAAGTAGGTTTCCTAATTTTGTGGCTGTACATCCTCTAATCACCTAATTTGCAGAGCAAAACACCCAAGAAGAAAGATCTGACCCTTCCCACTTTTCTTTGCCCTGCTGCTAGGGATGCTGCCATACTTGTCATCCCCTACCCTTGGAATAGGAGTCCCATGATCAGCCTCATTAGTCCTCAGGCCTGTGAACATGGACGGAATCACACTACTGCACATAATGGTGTCAGGTAAAGAAGACTCTTCCATCTCTGAGACCATCTGCATATAAATGGACTGCTCTCCCTCCCTCCTTTCTCTCTCTTCCTCCCTTTATCTCTCCTTTCTTCTCTCCCTCCCCATGTCACTCTCCCTCCCCTTCACAGATATCCTTTAATTGGTTTTGGTTCTCTTGGAAAATGTTATTAATATATCACTTCTACACTGTTTTTGTGCTCTTTTTTTACTATTTTATTTTTATTTATTCAATATGTATTTCATGATGAGATTTTTAAGTTTTTCCTTTTCTCTCTTAAATTTTGTTTTTTCTCTCTTATAATCTTATGGGAAGGAAAAGAAAAGAAATTATCACAAAGGTTGAAAACAAATTTGTGGGGAAGTTAGCATACAGATAATGTACAGCCGGTAGAATCTCAGAGAATGAAATGCTTTTGTCTTCTCTTTCCTTTCTCTGCCTTGTCATATGATCTAGATAATAATGTGAATAGCAGAATGGTGCAGAGGGTATGGCAAGGAAATGTCAATGGTGAACATTTGCAGAAGTATGAATATTTACACTTTTCTTGTTAGTCTTCTGAAGAGTCATGGCTCTTATTTTAGGACTGTAGTAGAGTAGAGTATTATGCCACTCGAATAATTTCTTGTTAGGTACCAACTATGTATGCTCGTTTACAGCAAACAGATCACAGCCTTGAGATGATGTGATTACAGACTCTCTTCTTTATCCCTTTTTATTTATAAGTAGCCTCCTGATAGTTCATATGAGATACCTATTCTGTATCCCTTTATACATTACTAGCATAACATTTGTCCTTAATGTGTCTGGTGAGTTCTGCTTCGGGCACACCAACTAACTTATTTTCTCTTTTTTGAAATATCATATGAAATTCACTTATATTTCATAAATTACCACCTTGTTTACTATTAATCCCTTGTATTTCTTATGAGTTTATGAATTCTGTTAATACAACATCTGTGGAAGAAATATATTCTCTAGAGATAGATAGATAGATAGATAGATAGACAGATAGACAGACAGACAGAGATAAAGAGAGACACACAGAGAAAGAGAACATGAAGTTGGGTGGGTAACATCTGGAAGCAGGTAATGGAGGGAACATATAATCCAAATACGTTGCATGAACATTTTAAGTAAAACTTTGAACTCTGGCATGATACCATGTTATCAGGACATCGAGCTCAGAAGGATCAGACTTGAAAGTTTCCTCCCCAAGGACTAGCTTTCATAGTACCAGAGATGCTGTGCAAACTGTCAATGGGAAATCAATTAATAGTTAATACCCAGCTGTGATGCTTGTGAAACACAACAACTCCCAGCATGGCAAGCTATCTCAAAGGTCTAGCACTGGGGTTCCTATCTTGATGATAACCAATGGATTTCTGGTTGAATTCATGGCCTGTTCAACAGGAAAGATATTTTTCCTGGTAGCAGAAACGCACCCAAATATCTAAGGCTGTTGGAATCATGGATCTTAGAGAACACACAACCACCACATTAATCGATCAACATAATTTCCAACTGTATTCTAAATATTTATGTTTTCATGTAAATACATCTCTCATTTCTCACCCAAGAAATTTCTATCTGCAACAGCTGGAGACCCACCGTAAACTATACTCATCAAAATGCAGAGAAAAACTTTTCGTGGGATTTCCAGTGGATAAAGTTACAACACAACCCCTGTACATGAGGCCCAAGAAGCATTAAGGGAAAGGAGGCAGAAACAGAGTGAAAGCCAGAGGAACAGAAGTCTACTTGAGGTTGTGTTTCCTTTGACAGGTAAATGTATGGCTGTCTATATAAGACCAAACAATGACAACAGTGCTAATAGATATGCTAATGTGGAAGCAAGGAATCTAAAAGCTCTCCTCTCCTGGATAAAGAACAATAGATAACTAATGTCTGCTTAGAGGGGGAGAGTTAGTTTTCTCCAGGGATGAGTATTCTACCTGATTATCCAATATTTAGAGATATCCCTGAAATATTGTGTGTAGAAGCAATACTGAAAGTACTCAACAAGTTGATTGTGTGTGTGTATGCACATGTGTGTGCTCTCATGTACTTATTTAATGAACATAATCAAAGAAAAGGGGTCATGAATTTGAGAGGGAATAAGGCAGGAAGACATGGGGAGGGTTGGAGAGACAGGACATGGGAGTTGGAGGTTAGAAAGAAGAGGTGGAGGTAGTGTAATTCTATTTTTTATTATTTATTTATTTTTCAGTTTAAATTTAGATAAGAAACAAGGTTGCTTCACAAGTCAGTTCCAGGTCCCTCTCCCTTTCCCTCCCCTCCTCCCGTGCCCTTCCCCCAACCCCTCCCATTATCCCCTCATTTCCCCAGGGAGGGTGAGGCCCTCCATTGGGGTGTCCATAGTCTATCATTTCATATAGGGCAGGGCCTAGACCCTTCCCCAAAAGTTCAGGGTGAGAGTGCACCTCACATTGTTGGATGGGAGTCCAAAGTCCGTGTGTATACTCGGGATGGGTACTGATCTGCTGCCCAAGGCTCAATAGATTACCTAGGCCTCCTCACTGACATTCACATTCAGGGGGTCTTCTATTTTTATTAAGATAAAAATTAAGAAAATGTAGAGCAGTGAGACTATAAAATTTGTATTTGGAACTTTATTGCAAATGTAATTTAAGAAAATATTTGCAAGCTATCTTTTAAGAAAACTATTCAAATTTCACTCTAATATACATTATCATGTTAATAAACAGTATTAAAATTGTCAGGGTGTTAATATTATTGTTATAACCATAATTTTAATATTGAAATAATAAAAACACTAAAAAAGTTCGTGTTAATGATACACAGCTGTTTTTGAAAATCCATTGGTCTTTTGTTTTTTTTTTCTATTATATTGGTATTTGTGTTATTAAAATCTACAGCTTTTGACTGCAACAAAATAAGAAAATAACAAAACTGAAGAAATCTCAAAAAATAACTATTTTTCATCTGTCAGTTGAGGGAACATTTTGGCATCAAACTATTTTTTTAATACTACTGCTAGTATACATCTTTGACAGCATTTCCTCCTAGCAAGATCCCTTCTCCCTGCCTTGCTGCTCTATTGTAAACATTTAATGTGAAAAATAAATCTCATCTACATGTTTTAAATGTAGCACAGGTGCTCTGATTTTACACTCATGTGCAGTACAGTTCTGTGGTTGATAGTAAATATTTAGGGTCAGACTTCATCAGTTTTAATTCCAGCTTGTCATCTCACTGCCTGACATTGCTTAAGTGTTCCCCACCCACCCCTTGGAACCCAAAATTATGCTGACCCCATCCCCTGACAATGGGTGGGACATGCATGTTGGCATTCAGGCAGATACTTAGGCAGCTCAAAGGGTCCTGTGTTTCATGACCATGTCATGGCTAAGTCATGCATTAAGGGTCTGTGTAAGACTCAGTATGCATGTGCAAATGAGTGACTTCACATGTTTGCTCTCTCTCTCTCCCTTCGCCTCCTCTCTCTTCTCTCTCTCCCCTCCCCCCTTCTCTCCTCTGCTTCTGCCCAGTCCCCTTTGTCCCCTCACCCCTTCCTCCAATAAACCCTACATGAGTTTGTTGAGTCTCCTGGCTCCTGTTTCCATCTACCCATGACTGAAGCATGATTTGCTGTTCAGTCCACTCTACTTATAACTTAAACAAAAGAGCAACACCTCCCTACCCCATTGTCTCAGTTTCTTCCTATTTACTATGTGTTGCAGAAAAACAGCTTAAAGAACAGAAGAGTCTCTTTAAAAGGTAATTATGAGGGGAAAATTAAGTCGCATCTTGCTTACCTCCATAGAGGTGTATTTAATTTTAGAAATCTATATGAAGTAACTTGCTGAAATGAAGGGGCTTGGGGAGTCCGTGCTGGGATTCTGTGGCCCCTGCATCTGATTTTACATGTGTTGTACGTAAGGTAAGAAGTGAGGATTTTCTTCTTGATCATTGAAAAATTAATAGGAGATTTACATTTTAGGTTCCTTCACCACTTCATACTTTTCTATTGCTTTGTATGCTTTGTAAAATGAATAGGGGAGGGCTTAGGTGTCCATTTTTCCAGATTAATTGAAGACCCTTTCTGATCATTTTCAACTTTTACTTCCCTTTAATTTTGTACACTTGGTATTAAAGTGTCCTTGTGAGGATTCATTTGAATAATATTCCAGTATTCTCTAATCGGTGTAATTATATCCTGCTTAAAGATTTATATTGCATTTTCATAAGTATCATTTTATGTTGCTATTAAAATTTTATTGTTATAGTATATCATTGTATTTTTCATTTTGTTCTTATTCTACCAGGTTTCATAAGAAGGTCCTTTTAAACTCTGTTAGTTTACTTACACTTTATTATGAAAAGAAAATTAATTGACTTACTAATCACAATAAAACCTAATCATCCTTTTATGGTAATAGCTCGAACCTTGTGTTGTGTTTAGTTTATTTGGTAAGGGAAGACCAACCAGTGTATTGTTATTAAATCTATCATGTTTGGTTCCTGATAAAGAATTAACATAGTTCAATTATCTGTAGCTTTCCAAACCTTTGTTTCCTAAACTTTTAATTTGAAGACTAAAATTACAAATATTTCAAAGCATTAATAATAATTCAACTGGGATTTGGGCAGATCTTCTGTACAAGGTCAGTTTTGTAAGTAGTGGTAGGCTCTAGAAATGAATTGGCTGCTCCTTTGTCACAAAAGTACTTGGTACTAATTATTGCTTCCTCATGGGTTTGAGTAAATATTTGTTAGTGTTTATGGTGACATCTTTTGTTCTTCCAGCATAGAAAATACAATTCATTTTACGAAAGTGACTTAATTTCCAAAGTGGCTTATCATTTTCTGTTATGCTTGAATACACATAATTTAAAAGAAAAGAATACATTTATGGAACATCTACTTAACAGTATTTCCTAGCTTTTCTTTTTTAGTTATTATTAATTAAATTTATTCATTTGCATCCCAACCACAGTTTCTCCTCCCACC